TTAGAACTTGTTTTCCTGCATTTACTAGTTACCACCTTGTGTTACAAATACCCTACCATACTTATTTAATTAGAAACAGTGGATTGGGCAGTTTCAGATAGAATGGGTGATTGGTTGACCAGGCAAATGGGCAGGCATGTAGTTACAGACTGGCAAACTATTTCTGTAAGGGGCTAGGCAGTAGATACTTTAGGTTTTGTTGGACAGATGGTTTCTATTGGCAACTCTGTCTTTGTAGTATGTTAGTAATGTTAGGCAATATGTAAATAAATGAGTGTAGTTGTGTTCCAATAAACTTCACTTTCACAAAGCAACAGTAGGCCAATAGTTGTAGGAGAAATGATCTAGATTAACCATATGGTTCTCAGTTCAAGAAGAGGAGTGCTATAGAATTACAAAAAATAAGTAAATGGGTTGAAACTCAGTTTACATTTTAGACATATAATAAATAGTTGTCATAAAAGAAGCCTATTTTACTTTTTAGCATGGTTGAACTGTATGCTTTCTAGTTTTTGAGGAGTTCCACGAAGTGGTAATGTACTGAGAATGAGAGTGAATAAGCTGAAAAGTAGGTATTTGTGGTTGGGGTATAGTCTTGGACTTTGGAATTTTAGAGGAATAGTTCTTTCTTGTGAAAGTCTAAAGTGTGTAATAAGAATGCTTTGCTCAAGTTGTGTGGAAATGAAGGTTCTTGGATTTGAGAAGAGGTCAGGGACCAGGTATAATGGTACATGCTTATAATCCCAGTTTCTCAGGAAGTAGAGATAGGAAGAGCTTAATGTGAGGCCAGCCTGGGCAAAAGCATTAGAACTTAACCTTGAAAATAAACTAAAACAAAAGGGCTTGGGACATAGCTTAGGAGATAGAGGCCTTGAGTTCAAACCCCAGTACTGCCCCCCCCCAACCCCCCGCAATTGAGATCTAAAGATGAGTAAGTTCCTATTATAGAACTGGTGCATTCTTCTCTTACTCCTGTATCTTGATGATTTTCTATTTTCTTTTCCTTGGTTGTTGGCAGCTTCACATGTTTACAGTACACTGGGTAGAATTCCTTTTTGCAATAAATAGTGTCTTTAGTGCTGTAGAAGAAGGTAAGGAAGAAATTCACTGACTATGATGAGTTATTTCCATGAACTCCTGTGTAATTGTACCACTGAAATGGAAAGGAACAGAGTGTGTAGTTTTTTTTTTTATACTAGAATTATGTTTATTTGGTATGAACAACACTTCTAATTTCTAATTCTTCCCATTTTTTTTCTCTTAATCTTTTTTTTTTTATTGTAAAGATACTATACAGAGGGTTACAGTTACATGAGTGAGGTAATGAGTACACTTCCTCTTGAACATTGTTACCCCCTCCATTGTTTTCCCCCTACCACCCCCTCCCTCCCTCCCTTCCCCGAGGTTCTTTTTTTTTTTTTGATTGTGATTAAGTGATTACATAATTTCAAAGTCACAAGTTCATTCTAACTTTCCTGGAGCAAATTGTCTATCACAGTCTGTAATATATAACAGTGTTCACATGTTATATACCATATTTGTGATCAGCAGCATGGGGATATTTAGTAGTGGTTCAACCAGATGAGCGGGAGTTCTTTGTTTCTTAAGTCCTGTTAGTTTTGTCGTATCACCTAACATTTTGGATTTAGCATCCACTTATCAGGGAGACCATGTACCGTTTGTCTCTTCGTTCTTGGCTTACCTCGCTCAAGAGTGTGTAGTTTTTAAATACTCCTGTTGTGTGATTGGTTGGGGGGCCAAAATAGTACCCTCGTGGGGAGAAAGAAAGGTTATTATGGTAGTTCCTAGAGTGTATACCTCCCATCCTTGAGGATGGGAGGATTTATTTATTTATATATTTTTGCTGGTGTTGGTTCTAGGGCTTGAACTCAGGGCCTAGGCATCGTCCCTGCTGTCCCTGTGCTAGTTTTACTCAGGACTAGCACTCTACCACTTGAGCCACAGCTTCACTTCTGGTGCTGTGTGTGTGTGTGTGTGTGTGTGTGTGTGTGTGCGCGCGCGCGCGCGCGCCTGGGCTGACTTTGAACTGCCATCCTCAGATCTCAGCTTCCTGAGTAGCTAGGATTACAGGTGTGGGCCACGAGCCCCTAAATAGACTTGAAGAATATAGGGCAGAACTAGGCAGTGGACTCGCAGAAAAATAAACCATAAGTCAGAAATATTGGTCAAGGATAAATTGGAGCATCGTGATTATTTAATATTGTGATGCTACGGAATGGGTTTTTGTGATTGTAGAGAAAGATGATTTTCTCATATGTGGTTTGGGAGATAATCCCAACCAGGAAGATGGCAGATTAAATTGTAGATGATATCTGCCAGTTTTCTTTTATTATAAAAAGAGCCATATATTTCTTGACTCTATAATAAGGTGCTATTTGACTATATTATACTTCTCCTTTGTCGTCTTCTTCTTTTTGGTCAGGGCTAGAACTCAGCACCTGGGCTGTCCCTGAGCTTTTTTCTTCTCAAGGCTAGCACTTTACTACTTTAGGTCACAGCTCTACTCCTGGTTTTCTGGTGGTTAATTGGAGATAAGAGTCTCACAGACTTTCATGCATAGGCTGGCTTTGAACTATGATCTTCAGATCTCAGACTCCTGAGTAGCTAGATTATAGGTGTAAGCTACCAGTGCCCTGCTATACTTCTATTCTTTATAAAAGAAATTGCAATGGAAGTAGTTATGTAGGGTCATGGAACAAATTAGAATTTTCTATAAAATTAAGTCCCTGTGGCACTGAACAGTTATTACATACAGGCTGAATCTTGTTTTTACGTTTTAAATGACACCTTATAATTTGTAGTATTAAATCTAACTCGACTTTGGAAGTTATTAAAATTAATATCGTGTGTGTGTGTGTGTGTGTGTGTGTGTGTGTGTGTGTATGTGTATGTGAATGCATATGTGTATGCACTCACAGCCTGGTCCTAGGGTTTTTAACTCAGGGTCAATGTTCCTGAGCTTTTCTGCTCAAAGCTAGTGCTCTACCACTTGAGCCACAGCTCTACTTCTGGCTTTTTGATGGTTAATTGGAGATTAGAGTCTCATGGACTTTCATGCATGGGCTGGCTTTGAACCTCAGAGCTCAGCCTCATGAGTAGCTATCATTATAGGCATGAGTCATTGTTTTGATTTTAACCATTTGTTTAAACTTCAAGTTAGAAGTTGTGGAGAAGGTTTTTAATGAACCCTAATGAATAGGCAGGTGTCCACTGTACAACATTTCCAGCTTTCTTAAACATATTAAACTCCTCAACAAAAACCTCAAACCACTATATTTCTAGCTAAGAAGATAACACTACAAGTGAATGGTACTTACATTTTTCAAAAATAAAGAAATAATGTCCCCAAAGTCATTGGATTTATTATTGGTTATATTAATTATTACTCATATTCAGTCACAGTCACAGATTTCACATCTTCTTGGTTATTATAATTTTACCTGGCATTGTGGCTAGACTCAAACACAGAAGATGATTTTTCTAAATTATCTTGTTGATATTTTTTATAAGCCTATCTTCTAAATCTCTCTCCATTTTCAGTTGTACTGTATTTAACTTATGATTCTATGTGACCATTAGAATCTTAAATTTTATTATTGTAGTTTTCAGTACTAAAATTTTCATTAAACATTTCTGAATGATGCTAATTCAGTTTTCAGTTAACTGAAAATTTGAAGCTTGCCTTTTGTCTTTTTGAACATAGTAAAACATGTTTTAATGAGTGTATCTGAAAACATTAATAGAATATCTTTGATCCCATTCCCATTATCTTGGTTCTTATTGGTTATATTTTTTTATGCTTCATTATCTTTGATCATGCTGCACATTCTATTAAAAATATTGGTGAAAATTGCTTGAGACCTGGGATTATGTTATCTTTCTTTAGAGAGTATTCTTTAACTTCTTTTAGGAGCTCTGGCTCACTACAGGTTCTAGCATTACTGTACACCAGTTATAACGTTTGGAATTTTCTACTGCCCAACTGACATGCAGTGAGGTAGCAGCTCAGTGAGGCTGGTTTACTTCTGGTACACCATTATCCTGATGAGCATCATGGACAAGTGAAAGTGCTATGTTGTGTGTTTGAACCCCTTTCTAATTTAGGCCACTGCCTTCCATTTTTCTCCCTTTTTCTCTTGGGACCACAAGGCAGTTTCTTCTCTGTAGGCCAAGCTCTGAAGAGCAAAAGCAGCTTTGAATGTCTGATTCTACTTGAAAGAATTTGTAGCTTCTGGATCTTGGCTTGTAGGTGGATTTTCTTTTTTCATTTTGTTATTGATGATTTTAAAATTTAAAACGTTAAAAGTTTAATTTTTTGCATTGTCATCAGTGGAAAGTTTTTGTGAATTCCCTCATCTAGTGTGGTTGAAAGTTAATTAACATTATTTAAACTATGCTTTACTTTTCATATCCATGGCACAGGATTACTAATTCCTATCTGATAGGGCTTTTGAGGTTTTTTAAATGAAATAATGTAATAACCAGTGGGTCCTCAATAATCAGCATGGCCGCCTGGCCCAGCCCACTGGAGGGGGCAGGGCATCGAGAAGCTGATGTGAAGATAAATTTGTTTTCAGATGTAGAGAAATATAGAGACTTGAAACTTTTCTTTCGTTTTTCTTTCTTTTTTTTTTTGGGGTCCAGTCGTGGGGCCTGAACTCTGGGCCTGGGCGCTGTCCCTCAGCTCTTCAGCTCAAGGCTAGCGCTCTACCACTTGAGCCACAGCGCCACTTCTGGCTTTTTTCTTTTTTGCTTATGTGGTGCTGAGGAATTGAACCCAGGGCCTCTGGCATGCAAGGCAAGTGCTCTACCACCGAGCTACCTTCCCAGCCCTGAAACTTTTCTTATATTGTAAATGAACACTATTTTTGGATATTACTGTGTTTCATTCCTTTGACTGAATGATTTTTAAATTTTCTTATGCTGCTATACATCTTAAAGTTTCTTTAAGGTAATTATTTCCATGGTTTCTTTTCCAGGTTAACAGAACCTTCTGGATATTTAACAGATGGTCCAATTAACTATAAGTATAAAACTAAATGTACATGGCTAATTGAAGGCTAGTAAGTATACAATTCAAATTGAATTTTATTCTGAAATGATAAAGGAACTCATTAGTAATAAGCATAATGACTACTGTTAGAGTTTAATTGCTTCTTAGAAGATGCCAATTATATATTTTTTATATTTGAAAATGTAAATTATAGTACTCCTCTTGTGATATAATAGACTAATTTATGTATATTTTATTGTTAAATTATGCTATTGTGCTATTAAATACAGTAGGCAGTTTTTGACTTTTCAAAAACATTGTTATGGCACTTAAAATCTCTATAGAAAGTATAAAAATATTTCATGCTGAGTTTGACAAATACTTTCTCATGTTATGAACTGGTTTGTACCACTCAGGATTTTAGTTTTAAGAGTATTTTTTTGTGGCAATACTGGAGCTTGAACTCAGGGTCTCATACTCTTGTTTAGCTTTTCCTCTTAAGATTTGCACTGCACTACTTGAGTCATACCTCCATTTCTGGCTTTTTGCTTATTAGTTGGAGGTTACAGTGTCTTGGATTTGTCTGTTTGTGCTGCCTTTGGACTGTGATCCTCAGATGTCATCCTCTGGAGTAGCAAGGATTACACTGCACCTGGCTCTATAAGGGTATTTTAAGATGAACATTCTGTAAATGTTATTCATTTAGGGGTATTTTTCATAATTAGGGCTTGAAACAATTTGTATATTTAATCATGAGTAAATAATAAATGAATTGATAGTAATTCTTTTGAACCGTTTTGTAATTCTTAGAGTATATTTGGAAACCATACTCTTTGGCAATGTTTTAAATTTGTTTTAAATCTAAACACTATCAATTTTTTGTTATGCATCTTTATTGTGTTGCTTATTTACTCAGTGTATCAGATTGAGACCTCTGAGGAAAACTTGTAGATCTTAGTGCCTCTACTTAAGAATTCTGTAGCAATGAGAATAGTTGTTAAGTATTGAATTTTAAAAATAAATTTTATTAACTATAATTTGCTGTCATAAAATGCTATCTTTTAGTATACAGTTCAGGTTTAACTATAATTTGCTGTCATAAAATGCTATCATCTTTTAGTATACAATTCAGGTTTCAGTAGTGTATATAAACTGAAGTCTTTGCATTAAGTAAATCATAAAACATTTCTTGTTAATTATATTGTATAGGAAATGATGATACAGGCATATGGTCTATTAATTTTGACAGTTGTATCTCCACAGCTTAACAGGTTTTTCCTCTGGTGATTTAGGAATTCATAGAAAAATATTCATAAATAGTTTTAAAATAAAATATTCTAAATTATTTTGAACTGTGTTTTGGAGATGATAAAACATACATTGAAAATAATTTTATTTATTTCAGTCCAAATGCAGTGTTAAGATTAAGATTTAATCATTTTGCTACGGAATGTAGCTGGGATCATATGTATGTTTATGATGGAGATTCAATATATGCACCTTTAATAGCTGTACTCAGGTGAGTAGTTACATTTAATTGATGAACTATAGTAAGTGATAGGAAATTGAATAATTATATATCACTTGTTAACTTGCAATATATCGATCTGTACTTCAGAATATATTTAGTGTAGATAATGATGGCTAAATTTCATGATGATTACAATACTATTTTGTATATTGTGACTGTCACATTTGTATACAATAATACAAATATTGATGTGGCATAGATGAATAGGTACTACGTTAAAACTATAGACTTGTTTGTAAGTAAATAATCTCACTGTATCTTAAAAGTTATTTCAATATATTTCCAGAAGTAATCACTTGGATAGAGTAGGGTGAGTTCACACTGATGAACAAACAAGTGGAAAGATACATTTTTTTCTAGTTTTCATTTTGGTGAAATGATGAACTTTTACAATCTGAAAAATAGGGCTAACTTATATTTTGTGCAATGATTTAATAAAGTGTTTTTACCAGTTCTCAAAATTGGTATTTTTTTGTTTGTAGCCAGTTAGGGTATTTAACCATTATAGCACCTTTAGTATCAATTTGAAAATGCTTTATATGCAGAGATTATTATAAAAATTTACGAGTAGGAGAAAAATATATTGTACATACAAAAATTATGAATATGTAGTATAGATTTTCTGTCTAACTTAACCAACATCATTGTTGACCAGTTACACATTACATTTTTCTTTACTTTTATTTTTACAATCTGTCAAGTTGTCACTGTTGAAAATTTAGGTATAGATTAAAGCTACTATTCCCATCAAAATTTTAATTTTTCTTTTGCTATTTGTGTTGCAAATATCCTATTTTACCAGGGATGTACACTACCATTTTTGACAAAAATTTACAGAATTGTATTTCAATTTTATGATATTTATCACTGTGCTCTTATGGTTATTTTATAGTAAACCAGTAGGAATTTTGACACTTAGTCTGTGATATTGCTGAAAATATTTTCAGAATTTCTTTTTAAGTTGTTTGAAAGCATGTTACAAGTAGTTACATATTTATGACAATAGAAAATACAGATTCTCATGTATAATTGTACTGTAAGGTAACTCATCATTATGATTAGGCAGGATGCTAGGCTCAGACAGTTATATTTAGCAACTTAAGACATTACTTTGTTATCATTCTATTTTTGTAACATCGTTGACTAACTCACAGGTGTGTTCATTTGTTTTTCTAGTCTTCTTATTTCCTTTCTAGTAACCTAATGACTGCATTAATTGACACTAGTTCATACATTAGTATCCTTTCTTTTTACTAAAGGAATCACTTATAAGATAATTATTAGGAAGGGATTTAGTACATGACTGTGAAGATGGAACTAGTGATTTTTTTTTTTATAGCAAGTGTTTTGTTACTTATCCTGAGGAAGATGAAAAACTCATGTTTGCATATCCATTTGTTGCTAAGCTCTGCGGTAGACAGTTTAAATGTCATTTTATCCTCACAAAGCTCTTGTAAGAGAAGTACTGTTATTTTCATTTTACAATGAACAAAATTGAGACTCAGAGAAATTATTTACTTCTATTATCTGATAAGTCAGGATTAGTGTTTCAACTGCAATTTCTTTAAAAGCCCATATTGTTTTAACTTCACTTTGTTAAGAACTAGAGTCTAATTATGTTTGAATTATATTACTTGCATAAATATTTATTATTCAACAAACAGCTGATATTTGATTTGATTCCACAGATATAATAAATCTGGAGTAAATAGTAAGGAATAAGGCATAGGCCCTTTGGATAAATTCAGATAGCAACTACCAGGAGTTAGTCTGAACTTCCTAGATTGTGTAGTCCTCTACCAGATTGCCCTCACTTTGGACACTAGTTGTCCCACTTTCACGTCTGACTATCTGGCTACACGTTTGGTGATTTGTACACTTCCTTAATCCTTGTAGTTCAATAAAATGATTCTCAGAACTCAGACTACTGCTCTATTTATGACTATGGTTTTATTATAAAGAATAGAAATTAGCTGGGTGTTGGTGACTCATGCATGTAATTCTAGCTATTCAAGAGGCTGAGATCTGAGAATTGCAGTTCAAAGCCAGCCCACTAGAAAAGTCCATGAGACTCTTACCTCCAGTTAACTACCAGAAAACCAGAAGTGGCACTGTGGTCAAAGTGGTCTATAGAGTATTAGCCTTAGTACTAGTAACTCAGGGATAGCACTTAGGCCCTGAGTTTAAGCCCCATGGGTGGCCAAAAAAAAAAAAAAAATAAAGAAAGAAAGGATAGAAATAAGAACCAGCCAAATAAAGAGTGGTTGGGATGATTCACAAATGCAGAGGTTCCTGTCCTCAAGATGTTACCCATTCAGCACATCAATGTAGGACACTTAGATGTTCACTCTTGATATCTCTTCTGTAGGCCTGTTTAGTTGACTCTGGCTATGAGGAAGTTGAAATCATGTCTCCAGCTTTCCTCCTCTCTTCATATGGCCTTAATTCTTTAATCACATTGTTAGTCTTACTGGTGTGACCGTCTCTCATCCAGAAATATGTCTTTAGCTTTAAATTTTCTAAGAGCACCTTCCTTGAGTCTGCCTTGGCATAAACTGTTAGGACATATCACGAGAAACAAAGACACTCTATTACTTGAGAAATCCGAAGTATTTAAAGGCTGCATTCCAAGAACTGACAACAAAGGCAAGCCAAATTCTTTAGTGTACATAGTCTTGTTCTAGAAGAAACAGATTTTTCACAGATTATAATCAGGTAATGAAAGGGAGTTATGTCATTTCAGAAGTAACCAGTCCTATGTGGTGAATTTTATCGCAATTAAAAAATAACAGGCAAAGTTTGGGACAAAATAGGACATGTATAAAGGTATTGATACACTACAGAAATTAGTAACTAGTTTTGAAAAATTTCATCAAAAGTCATGTTGAAGGTTTAAATAGAAGCCAGATTGTCCAATAAACAACAATCTGCATCCTCTACTGAGTACTGATTTTGTGCCATTCAAAATGTAAGAATTTTTTATATCTGCTGATTGATTTTATCCTCACATTGACCTTTTAAGGAGGTATGATTTTTAGCCATATATAAATGGAGAACTGAAGCACAGAAAGATTTTGAGTGGCCACGAGTTGCCTCTCTGGTGAGAGTCAAGAGTTGTCTTCAGTCATTCTAATTCTGCTTCTTGTATATTGCATTTAAAGAAATTGAGTTATCTTTGTCAGCAGCTCATATTAGAAAGTGGAGAAGGTTTAGAAGTTTTGATTTTTTTTTTGTTTTTGGTTGGTTGTGGGGCTTGAACTCTGGGCCTGAGCGCTGTCCCTGAGCTCTTCAGCTCAAGGCTAGCACTCTACCACTTGAGCTGCAGTGCCACTTCTGGTTTTCTGGTGGTTTATTGGAGCTAAGAGTTTCATGGACTTTCCTGCCCCCGCTGGCTTTGAGCCGAAATCCTCAGATCTCAGCATCCTGAGTAGCTAGGATTACAGGTGTGAGCCACCAGCGCCCAGCTTAGAAGTTTTGATTTTTTTAAATTTCAATGTGCTGGATAGTTGGGTTTTGTGTTTGGAAAAGAAACTTATTTGAGGCCTAGAAAGATATGTTTTTGGAGGTGTGGCTTAAGTGATAGAGCACCAGCTGAGCAAGCTAAAGTCCCTGAGTTTAGAGTGTAGTATAGAGAGATCTGAGACATTAGAAGTCCTTAGTTACCTCAACCCAACTTGAAGTGTTGAGGTGCTTCATAACTAAGCTGCAGTGCTATCCTTAGGGAGGGTTTGACTTAAAGGTACTGTATGTTAATCAGAGTTCTAGGTCTCAAGTCCAACTCCAGGTTCTACATGTTAGCCTGGCCACTTGCCCCAACATGCCATATAGGGATAAGCAGTGATGAAGGGCAAAGAAAGATTTGCTAATATTGCATGATTATGGTGTAGACAGAGGTGAAGTAGACACTTATGGGCTGTCCACATGGCTTGGGTTTAAATAGAGAAAGACTTGAGGAAGGGAGTCTTGGACTAAGTGTGGCCTAAGTGCCTCATTCAGCATAATCTCAGTTCTCATTGTGTGTGGGGTTCTAGGGAAGTTGTTGTTGTTGTCTTCACTCGAGAGTAACAGTCTGGTTCCCGTGGCATAATTACTCCTGCTTCAGCCTCATCATTACAGGCAACATTTGGGCAAATCATTTTGGCTGTGATTTGTACAGTAAGGCTCTGCTGATCTTTTCCTTGGGGGAAGCTTCAGCTGCTATTGATTCAGATGCTATTGATTAGTACTGTTCTTCCTGGATTCCAAGGTGGTTGCTCAGAACAAAGATAGATACAAAGCAAAGGTAGAACTGTCAAGTTTTTTTTTAAATTTTTTTATTTTTCCTGCTTTTAGTTACCCTTTGGACATTTGTAGGAGAAAGTGAGGAGTCAGTGCTTCTAGCAAAAACATTTTCTAAGTACCAGCTATTTATGGATTATACTACAGTTTGGATTGATACAAATTGCCTGGTACATTAGTTGGAAATCCTTTTGTTTATAAACACTTATAAACAAGCACCCTGTTTGTTTTTCTATTTCAGAGAGATCTCAGAGGCTAAGAATGTTTCTTATAAAGACCTGGGAATATTATTTATCAATATATTCACTTTGATGCAGTCTCACTACTGTGAAAAATATGTTTATATTTTTAACAAAGAATAGTATTATAGAATTTGCTTTTACTTACAAGACTCTTTTTAAAATCTTGCATTTTCTTTTTCGTTTTTGGTCGGTCGTGGGCCTTGAACTCTGGTCCTGGGCCCTGTCCCTGAGCTATTCAGCTCAAGGAGACGCTCTACCACTTGAACCACAGTGCCACGTCTGGTTTTCTGGTGGTTAATTGGGCTTTCCTGCCCTGGCTAGCTTTGAACCATGATCCTCAGATCTCAGCCTCCTTGAGTAGTTAGGATTACAGGCATGAGCCACCAGCACCTGGCTGTTTCATTTTCTTAGAACCAGAAAAATCCTATGCTGTATAATAGCTACTAATCATTAAATCAAGAGGTGATTATTTTTTAATTTCATTGTATATTTGAAAGGGAAACTGAATATATTTTATTTGTCAATATAATTTACTTGTAGAAATTTAGCTCCTAGTGATTCCTAAACATGAATTTAAGTTTGTTTGATAAGATTGACTTTGAGTTTTATAACTTTTGTTTGTTAGCAGCTAGTTTTTCTTATGACATTTTTTTTGTTAATTTTAGAGAGGTTAGTATACTATAATTAGAAAAAGATACATAATTTTTCTCTTTGAACAAGTACTTTAGAAGAGAATATCAGAGCTGAGTGCTGGTGGATTATATCTGTATTCCTAGCTTCTCAGGAGGCTGAGATCTAGAGGATAGTTTGAAACTAGTCTGGACAGAAAAGTCCATGAGACTTCATCTCTAACCAGCAAAAATGCCAGGATGAAGATATGGTTGAAGTGGTAGAGCATCATCTGTCAACAAGCAAGAGAGCAAGGCCCTAAGTTCAAGCCCTAGAACTGACAAGAAATGAGTATGTTACTTAGAACTCTTGCTTTTTTGTAAATTTATTAATCTTTACTTCTATTCTGCCCTTTTTGTATGCAAATAGGCCTAAGTGAGCAACATTCTTTTTGGGAATAGTTATATATTAGTAATATGTATAAGTATGTAAAACTTTAAATTAACATGAAGACATGTATTTTAAAATTACCTGAAACATGTAGGTTAGTGTTTTGAAAATGCACAACTTTAACTAGAATTTCATTAAAAGCACTTAGCTGGTATAGTCTGTTCTTTCTGGCTTCATTGGAATTTGTAATCAGTGGGAAAGAGTAAGTTATACTTTCATTTGTCAGAGTAGCAATGGGCTTTGAGTGATGCCTTACGTGAAAGACCACCCTCTAGTATGACAGGATGTACAGGAAAACAAAAGAAAAATGGGACATTACAGTCTAAATGGTGATAAAGGGGAAAGAAAGCAGTGAAGTGACATAGAGTACTTTTCGGTATATATCAGAAGTAGCGGAACTAACTAGTTAGAAAGGGAAAGGGACTACTTTTTGAATTATTGTCCTTGTACTTGTCCTCATAATGTATATACTTGCTGATTCTGATGAGAGTATATTTGAGAAATTTTTCTAGGAAGTTATTTGTGAATATATGCAATGTCCAATTTTGCTTTTTTTTTTTTTTTCAGTGGTTTGATAGTCCCTGAAGTAAGGGGAAATGAAACTGTGCCTGAAGTTGTGACAACCTCTGGCTATGCACTGTTACACTTTTTTAGTGATGCTGCATATAATCTAACTGGTTTCAACATTTTTTATTCGTAAGTATTTTTTAAATTTCATATTGTAATAGTTTCTTATAACAACTTTTCTTTATAGATGCCTTATATATCAGGAACAGGTTGGTATGTTAAATTTCACATTATATAGGATCTTTTCCTAAGAGGCATGCATGTTAATGATTCATCATAAATTGGTGTCTGAGCTGGTGCTACTATAATTTCTAAGTCTGAAATGTTATTGTAGCAGGTTGTATGTTGAAAAAATCAACTGCAAATTTAAAACTGTTCACAAATGGTTAAGTAAACATACATGAGTGTAACAACTGGCATGTATTGCAAGGTGTCCTGAATTGCCTTTCTGTAGTTAAAAATAATTTGAACTCTGGTGTCAGAGCTAAGTTTTTGTAGAATGTTGTATATTTTCTGTATATTCTATCATTTAATTCCTTTCATGACAATTCTGTAAAATGGAAATTTTCATTTTCATTTTGTGTATGAGGAAATTTTGACTTAGGCGATAAAGTACATGAGTATTCCACTATCTCTTCTAAAATAAGAAAAATAATATTCATTGAAAACCAATTATATGCCTAACATTTTATATAAATTTCTATTTTTAGACATCCAGGGGTCAAGTGAAGTAGCCAGAAGAGCTAGCTGTTAGGTACTTTTAGAGGAATGGCCATATAGAGGATTTTACATATAGAGCTTTTTCTTCTTTATGAAACAGATTTTGATAATCAAAGAATTTTTTCAAACCAAGAATAAAGTATTATAAATACCTTTGATTCAGCAATTCGTTGTAGGACTTCTTTGTCCTAGAATGTCTGTAAGTCTGTGCATAAGAGTGTATAGGTATATAGTAGAACACAGTCAAAAGTCTAAAATTAAAAAGTCAATTAAAGAGCACTGCTACTACCTACATACTGAACACTTGTACAATACACATTTGACTAATACCTGTAGTCTCTATATCTGTATGCTCTTTTATAGGGGTATGTAACTGTTAACAAGTGTCCTAACATAGAATTACATTATACCTTGGCTTTTCTTTCATATACTTATGAATTTATTTTTCAAAAGCATTTTCACTTAAGTCTTTATAATACATTGTACTTAGAACTGTACAGATCCTGAAGATATTGAATGTGAATCCTTGGATATTTGGAATCTTTGTAGCAAAGTATTTATTGGATGAACAAAGAATAATAAAATAGATGCTAATTGAATTGCATAAGAGAAAAGGGTAGAATAAAGAAGATTATGAGATTTTACTAAATAAGCACATGAAAATTAAAAGTTTATAAAGTAACAAAAATTCTTTCTCAGTTATCTTGAGTTCAGGTATATATGAATTATATTTTACAGAATCAATTCTTGCCCTAACAATTGCTCTGGTCATGGGAAGTGTACAACTAGTATCTCTGTTGCAAGTCAAGTGTATTGTGAATGTGATAAATACTGGAAGGGTGAAGCATGTGACATTCCTTACTGTAAAGCCAATTGTGGCAGCCCAGATCATGGCTATTGTGATCTAACAGGAGAAAAATTGTGTGTCTGCAATGATAGTTGGCAAGGTAAGCATGTGGGGGTGTGCTATTTTGGAAAAATTCTACATTAATTTATTTTGTTAGTTTGTACCCAAACCACATGGATTTGTTTTTAGAATGTTCATATTGACAATGGACTTCTTAATATTCTGTATTCTCACAAGTAGAATTGATATTTCTGGACATGCTATGTGTTGAGAGTTGAATTATTTTTTAAAAATATTTATTTATTTATTTACTTACTTATTCTTGGTCATGGGTCTTGAACTCTAGGCCTGGGCACTGTTTCTGAGTTCTTCAGAGCACTCAAGGAGAGTGCACTACCACTTTAGCCACAGGACCATTTCCGGTTTGAATGAAATTATATATGAAACTTCAAATTATAGGTGTGTGACCATTATGGTCTTTACACTTTCTTTGGTCAAATCTCTGAAGATTTGATGGTTTCAATGGATTTAATGTGGTGTTTCCAATTTTGATTATAATGGGCAGCAAAAGCTATGTTGTAAAGCCAAATGCAGGGGGCCTACATTATTTTAAATTTATTTCTTAGGAAAGCCTGACCTCTTGTGGCCATTTTTGGATGAACAGGGAGTATTTCAAAAAGTGTAAGATAAGACTATTTCAGCAGCATATTGTAAAAGAGTCTTTGGAAAAAATTCTTAGTGCGTGTGGTGTGTGCGTGTGCGTGTGCGTGCGTGCATGCGTGCGTGTGTGTGTGTGTGTGTGTGTGCCTGCCTGTGTGCTAGTGCGCCAGCAGGCCAGTCCTGGGGATTGAACTCAGAGATTGGGCAATGTCTATGACCCTTTGGGCTAAGGCTAGCACTCTGTCAGTTGAATCATGGCCCCAATTCAGGCTTTTTTTTTCTGGTTAATTGTAGATAAGAGTCTTGCAGTTTCCTGCTTGGACTGGTTTTGAACCGAGTTCCTTATATCTCAACCTCCTGGGTAGCTACAATTCCAGGTGTGAGCTATTGATACCCATTTTAAAATAATTTTGATAAATATTTGGTCATCAGAGACTTACTTCAGACTACACTGAAGAGTTTCAGTTTACATCTGAGTACAATAATCATTCATTTTTTTCCTTGTGGTAGCCAATAACTATGATGCTAGTTACTTGAAATACAGAAATAGGAGGATCACAGTCTGAGGCCAGCCTAGGTAGTAGAAGTTTGAGACTGTATCTGAAAAACACACCAAAGCAAAAGGTGTGCTGGTGTGGCTAAAGTGGATGGGTTGAGTTCAATTTCAAGTACCAGCAAGTAAAGAAAAAAATGGAATTAATTTTGGAAGTAAACTAGGCATGGTTATTTATAATTTAACAGAGACTTATTTTTTCCCCTCCCTTTTACTCCTTCCCTAATTCACATGAGTTTATATACACACAAACATACATATATATGTACACACATGTGTATATATACATATATATTATGCATACATATATGTATATAACTCTGCCAGTCCTGGGGCTTGGACTTATGGCCTGAGCACTGTCTCTGAGCTTTTTTTTTTTAATGTGAAAATACTGTACAGAGGGGTTACAATTACATGGGCAAGATAATGAGTACATTTCTTATCAAGCATTGTTGCCTCCTTTGTTTCCCCTTCCCATCCCTTCCCATCCTCCCCCTGCCCCCCAATCCTCCCTGCTCCCCCCTCCCACCCCACCCCTCCCTCACCACAGTTGTAAAGTTCATTTTTGACATAATGACTTGTACATCTCATTGTTGCAATGGGTCCACCCTGTATCCCTATTTAAACGATTTGTTTTTCCCCTTCCCCTCCACAAATTATACAGACATCAAATACAGTGAAAGCAGGGGTTATACTGTGGGGGAGGGACATACAAAGCAACAAAGAAATAGTCCTATAAATGTGTTAGAAACAATCGCATGAAAGAAAAAAAAAACCTTTGAATACATATCTTAGGGTTCATTTCCCTAGCATCACCTTATCTGACCTTTTCTGCTTGACTCAGACATATACTAGATATTGCCAATAAGGGAAACCATGGGGCCTATGTTTCTTTAGGCCTGGCTTACTTCACTTAATACAATTTTTTCCAAGCCTTTCCATTTCCTAACAAATGGGGCAATGTCATTCTTTCTGATGGAGGCATAGAATTCCACTGTATATATACCACATTTTCTTGATCCATTCATCTACTGAGGGGCATCTGGGTTGGTTCATATCTTAGCTATAGTAAATAATGCTGCAATAAACGTAGTCATGCTGGTAGCTTTAGTGTGGTCTTGTTTGTAAACATTTAGGTAAGTGCCCAAAAGTGGGATTGCTGGGTCATAGGGGAGCTCTATGTGGAGTCTTTTGAGGAACCTCCATACTGCTTTCCAAAGTGGTTGAACAAGTTTACACTCCCACCAACGATGAAGTAAGGTTCCCTTCTGTCCACATCCCGTCCAGCATCTGTTATTAGAGTTCTTGATTTTTGCCATTCTAACTGGGGTGAGGTGGTATCTCAATGTTGTTTTTATTTGCATTTCTTTTATGGCTAGGGAGGTTGAGCATTTCTTCATGTGTCTATTGGCTATCCTTCTTTCCTCTTCAGAGAAGTTTCTTTTTAAGTCTTTAGCCCACTTATTTATTGGGCAGTTGTTTCTTTGAAGATTTGTTGTTGGGGGATTTAATTTTTTGAGTACAAGGTATATTTTAGATATGAGACCCTTGTCCGTTGTATGGCTAGTGAAGATCTGCTCCCAATCTGTGGGCTTTCTATTGATCTTGCTAGCTATGTCCTTTGCCATGCAGAAGCTCTGCAATTTCATGCAATCCCATTTGTCCAACCTTTCTTTGATTTGTTGTGTTTCTGGGTCTCTATTAAGAAAATTTCGGCCTGTGCCAAGGAGACCTAGGGTTTCTCCTATTCCATCCTGTAATGTTTTCAGAATGTCTGCTTTGACTCTGAGGTCTTTGATCCATTTGGAGTTGATTCTGGTGCAGGGTGATATATAAGGATCTAGCTTTAGTTTTCTACAAGTGATTAACCAATTTTGCCAGCGCCATTTACTGAAGAGACTGTCTTTCTTCCATTCTAATTTTTTAGCTCCCTTATCGAAGATTAGATGGCTGTCGATCTGTAGGTTCATTTCTGGGTTTTCAATTCTATTCCATTGGTCCTGAGGTCTGTTCTTGTGCCAGTATCAAGCTGTTTTGATTGCTGTGGCTTTATAGTAGAGTTTGAAATTTGGTATTGATATTCCTCCAGCAGTGTTCTTTCTGTTGAGGATCGTTTTTGCTATTCGGGGTCTTTTATTGTTCCATATGAATTTTTGGATTGCCTCTTCTATTTCCTTGAAGAATAAGATTGGAATTTTGATAGGTATCTCATTGAATTTGTAGATAGCCTTGGGAAGTATTGCCATTTTCACGATGATGATCTTTCCAATCCAGGAGCATGGGAATTTTTGCCACTTTCTTAGTTCTGTTTTGATTTTCTTTTTCAAGTTTTTAAAGTTTTCATCATAGAGGTCCTTCACTTCTTTGGTTAAGTTAATTGCTAGGTATTTTATTTTTTGTGGGGCTATTATGAATGGAGTTGCTTTCCTAATTTCAGCTGCACTTTTCTCATTGTTGGCATACAGAAAAGCCATTGATTTTTGAGGGTTAATTTTATACCATGCTACTTTGCCAACGTTTTGAATCAGCTTGAGTAATTTGGGAGTGGAGTCTATGGGATTCTTTAAATACAAGATCATGTCATCTGCAAAGAGAGAGTTTTACTTCTTCTTTCCCTAATTTGATCCCCTTTATGTTTGCATCTTGTCTTATTGCTGTAGCTAGGCATTCTAATACTTGGTTGAAGAGAAGTGGAGAGAGTGGACATCCTTGTCTTGTTCCTGAGTTAAGAGGAAATGGCTTTAGTTTTTCACCATTAAGTATAATGCTGGCTCTAGGTTTGTCATATACAGTCTTTATTGTATTGAGGAATGTTCCATGGATTCCTAATTTTTCCAGAACCTTCATCATAAAGGGGTATTGGATCTTGTCAAATGCTTTTTCTGCATCTATTGAGATAACCATGTGGTTCTTATCCTTGCTCCTGTTGATGTGATGAATTATATTAATTGATTTGCATATATTGAACCAGGTTTGCATCCCTGAAATGAATCCTGTTTGATCATGGTGTATGATTTTTTTGGATGAATTGTTGAAGTCGATTGGCCAAAATTTTGTTGAGAAGTTTTGCCTCAATGTTCATCAAAGAAATGGGTCTATAGCTCTCTTTCTTTGATGAGTCCCTACCTGGTGTCTCTGAGCTTTTGTTCTTAAGTCTAGCACTCTACTACTTGAGCCACAGCTTCACATCTGGCTTTTTTGATAGTTAATTGGAGGTATGAGTCTAAAGACATTCCTTATCCTCACACTTCAGCCTCTTGAGCAGATAGAATTACAGGTGTGAGCCACTGGGGCCCTGCTCATAGGAGTATTCTTTAAGAATAGATTGGCATTATTAAAGCCACTAGTTCCCTTTTTCTTGTAGTACTAACCCTCCTCTCCCCCAAATAAAACAATGCTGACATAGTAAAGAATGTGGAAAATGCTAAATATAGCAGTTTAAAAAGCACATACACTTATTGTGTAATGTTTAATTTTGTTGTAATTTTTGTTATCACAATTATTACATATACATATGAAATAGGTTACTAAACTAATACACACCTGTATGGAGTCATGTACTTCTATGACTTAAAGAAAATACTTTTAACTGGGTGCTGGTGGTTCACACCTGTAATCCTTGCTACTCAGGAGGCTACCTGAGGATTGCAGTTTGAAGCCAGTTGGGGCAGCAAAGTCTGTGAGACTCTTATCTTCAATTAAGCACCAGAAAACCAGAAGCAGATCTGTGGCTTAAAGTGATAAACCAACACAGCCAAGGCCCTGAGTTGAAGCCCCATTACCAACAACAAGAAGTATTTTCATTTTTTGAGGGTAGTTTTAGGTTCACAGCAACATTGGGCAGAAGTTTTAGAAATCTCTGCCCCTACAATGCATAGCCTCCCTCA